TCAAATCAAATCAAACTCAAAAGAAAAGTGATGCCGTAAGAGGACAGTGAAGAGAGACTGGTGTAGATCTTATTAAGTCCTAAAAAAACGTAAAATAAGTCTGTTTTGCTCAGGATAATGTGTGGTATATTCATAGATCATCAAGATCATAGGAGTCAAAAGATGCTGATCTATATGCTTCCATGCAGTTATGCGGTACAAACGGGATGCTGCTTCACCACAAATACATGTAAATTCAGATTCTCCATCCACACTTCCTACCTTTCTCAGGATGTAAACAGTTAAATCATTGTACCCAGCAGTGCAGAAGGTGGGGGTGATGTGAGCACAGAGGGTGGGGAGTCAGTGAGGGGATCAGGGTGGGAGAGGGGGCGTAGCATGGTACCATGGGACCTGTGATGAATAGCTGACACAGGACTACAGGGACATGGGCACTGTCAAACTGTCATAGCCCTCCCACTAACACACACTGGGAATGCCAATTAGACATGTGCATTGTGTGTGTGTGTGTGTGTGTGTGTGTGTGTGTGTGTGTGTGTGTGTGTGTGTGTGTGTGTGTGTGTGTGTGTGTGTGTGTGTGTGTGTGAGACCATTGTACTCAGGGGTTAGAGCTATTCTGCTAGTGCCAACAGGACTGAGGAGAATCAAAAATGAAACATTTAACAGCCATATGTCCCTTATGCGTTGATATATATATATATATATATTTATATTGTGTCTGTAAACAAAAAGTGAACCCTTCATTATAAACAAGTTGGAGTTGACTTATGTCATTTGGGTGAAATTCCAGCCCCTTCTCTTACCTGTCTCTAGTCTTCATGCTATGCTAAGCTAACAGGATGCTTGCATTAGCTACATATTTACAGGCTCTCTTACCCCTTTCAACCGAGGCATTAAGGGCTAATTTGACACCAGTGCCTGATGTCAAACCAATTCCTTGCCTTTTCACAGTCGAAGTAACAGTAATGTGTAATGCTACACATATATGCTTCCCCTATCCTTACGTTTGTTTTATTTATTTTTTATTTCACCAATCTAAGGCCTTGAAATCCACCACCCTCACTCTGTGCTCACCCTCGAATCCCTTTCTGTTAAAATGAACCAAGAAAGAAACCCTTGAGTAGTGATGCATCCAGGACTAAATTGTTGCAGGGTTTTATCAAGTTAGTTTGTAAAGAACACAAGCCAAGAACAGTTATTACAGGAACATTTTTAGCAATACTATTTAATTAAATGTTTAGCTAACTAGCTTGCATTTCCTCCAATTCTTAATGTAAAGCTAAGCTTAAATGTTCTAAGATATTTTCATAAAGGCACATGTTACAGTCTAAGGACTATAAATCATATTCATAATAATCTCTGAAAGGGGACCTATCATGCAAAATGCACTTTTTGATGTCTTTTATACATAAATATGTGTCCCCGGTGTGTCAGTGAAAATACAATATACAACCCTCTCTCTTTTCCTCCGTACCCAAATCTCTAAAAACAGGGGGTACAACGGAGCTGATCCAGATTTGCGTCCGATATGACGTAATATCGGAAATGTGGACCCACGGCACTATCAGGAAGTTGCTATCAGAAACAATGCCCGACTGTTTTGGACGTAATATGGTCTTTGTTTACATTAGCAAGCATCGCTAACACTCAGAGCTAACCTGTACTGGAGAGAGTATGTGTAAAAAAGCAGGCAATAAAAAAAGGAACTCACCCGCAAGAGAAAAAGCATTTGAGCTCCATACTGTTTCAGAAATAATCCCTGATGTGGTTTGGACCATGATATGGTGTTTCATCATGGCAGCATTTAGCTGTATCTCGTAGAATTCTGAGCTGGCACAAGCTCCCCCTTCTCTTTTTTTTTTTCAAGCTAAGGACCCAGATCAGCAATTCTCTAACAAGGCTGAAATAGAGGGATATGAGGGATGTCTAAAATGCATGATCTGTTTGGTATTTTGAGCAAAACACGTCATAGATATGTTTTTTACATATTTTTATATATCTGAGACCCATAATATATGCCTACAAATTGCATAATAGTAGACCTTTAATCCTCTCATCCTCACTGACAAACAAGACATTTTGTATTTGTATATTTTTACAGGAATGTTTTTCTTTCCTGCATTTATTTTAAGGTTTAGTAATGATAGGTCTATTACTAGTAGATCCTTGACGCTGAACCATACTAACTTCTACTAAAAAAGGCGACATGCACAATGACTCACATTTTCACCTTTGTGCGTTCACATCTGTTAGGTTCCAGGATATCAATTAAAAGAGAAAATAAATCGGCTGTTGCTAACCACTTGTTATATTCCATCACATGTGCTAATGCTTTTGTAGATGCAAATTGATAACGTTTTAAGGATTTTATTGAGGGAAGTGAGGATGACCTGGCTCAACTGCTTAGTAGTGATCACTGGTGAGTGTGAATATTTACTGAAGGTCCAGCAGAGGGCAGCATTGAATCTCTAACTGCAGGATGTGGACCTCAAACACTCAAATACTGGAGTATTGAAATTAGTTTGACTCATTTTCTGTCCTCTCAGATGCCCACTGTCCACTTTAAAGAC